CAATGACTCAGTTGTCCTCGATCCTACAGATGACTGTCCAGTTGTTGCAAACCCAGGTGATGGACCAGAGGTGCCTGTCAATCCTGCTGATGGGACAGATGTTCCTGGTCCTACAACAGATGATCCAGTTGTCCCTGAACCTCCAGAAAACAGTCCAATTGTACTTGATATACGAGTTGATGATATAGTTGTTCTGAATACTTCAGATGATGGCTCAGAGGACTCAGATACTCCAGATGACAGTGCAGTTGTGGCTGATCTTGAAGCCAATACTCCAGTTATGCCTGACTTTACTAATGAAGGTCTCGTTGTCCTTATTTCTTTAGAACTTGGTAAGTTCGTCTCTGAAACTAAAACAGGTTGTCTTGTTGCTCCAGTTCGTCCACGGAATGGTCCTGTGGTTTCTGCTACCTCAGCTGCTTGTTCTGTTGTCCCTGCTTCTTTGGCTAACAGTCCAGTTATCTGTGATCCTCCTGTGGATGGACTAGTAGTGCCTGAAGGTACAATGGAGGTCGCACTGGTTTCTGGTCTTCCAGACAATGACTCAGTTGTCCTCGATCCTACAGATGACAGTCCAGTTGTTGCGAACCCAGGTGATGGACCAGAGGACTCTGTCAATCCTGCTGATGGGACAGATGTTCCTGATCCTACAACAGATGGTCCAATTGTCCCTGAACCTCCAGGCCATGTTCCAGTTGTGCTTGATTTTCGAGTTGATGATCTAGTTGTTCTGAATACTTCAGATAATAGCTCAGTGGACTCAGATACTCCAGATGACTGTCCAGTTGTGGCTGATCCTGTGGCCAATACTCCAGTTGTGCCTGACTTTACCAACAAAGGTCTTGTTATCCTTATTTCTTTAGAAGTTGATAAGGTTGACCCTGAATGTAAAACAGGTTTTCTTGTTGTTCCTGATCGTCCATGGAATGGTCCTGTGGTCCCTGGTCTTCCAGCTGCTTGTTCTGTTGTTCCTGTTTCTTTGGCTGACAATCCAGTTGTCTGTGATCCTCCTGTGGATGGACTGGTAGTGCCTGAAGTTACAATGGAGGTTGCAGTGGTTTCTGATCTTCCAGCCAATGAGGCAGTTGTCCTCGATCCTACAAATGACTGTCCAGTTGTTGCAAACACAAGTGATGGACCAGAGGTGCCTGTCAATCCTGCTGATGGGACAGATGTTCCTGATCCTACAACAGATGGTCCAGTTTTCCCTGACCCACCAGGCAATGGTCCAGTTGTGCTTGATATACGAGTTGATGATCTAGTTGTTCTGAATACTTCAGATGATGGCTCAGTGAACTCAGATACTCCAGAGGACTGTCCAGTTGTGGCTGATCCTGTAGCTGATATTCCAGTGGTGCTGGACTTTACCAATGAAGGTCTAGTTGTCCTTAATTCTTCAGATGATGGCCCAGTCGTCCATGAACTTAAAACAAATTGTCCTGTTGTTCCTGATCGTCCATGGAATGGTCCTGTGGTCCCTGATCTTCCAGCTGCTTGTTCTCTTGTCCCTGCTTCTTTGGCTGACAGTGCAGTTGTCTGTGATCCTCCTGTGGATGGACTGGTAGTGCCTGAACTTACAATGGAGGTTGCAGTGGTTTCTGATCTTCCAGCCAATGACTCAGTTGACCTCGATCCTACAGATGACTGTCCAGTTGTTGCAAACCCAGATGATGGACCAGCGGTCCCTGTCAATCCTGCTGATGGGACAGATGTTCCTGATCCTACAACAGATGGTCCAGTTGTCCCTGACTCACCAGACAATAGTCCAGTTGTGCTTGATATACCAGCTGATGATCCAGTTGTTCCTAATTCTCCAGCTGGTGGTCCAATTTTCCCTGTCACTCTAGTAGATTGTCCAGGTATACCCATCACTCTAGATGATATTCCACTTGTTCCTGAGCTTACAACTGATGGTCTAGTTGTCTCTGAACCTAAAGCAGATTGTTCCATTGTTCCTGATACTCCAGGGAATGGTTCTGTGGTCCCTGATCCCCCAGATGTTGGTCCTATAGTCCTTGCCTCTTCAGGTGATAGTACAGTTGTATGGATTCCTCCTATGTAGGGACCACTAGTTCCTGAACTTACAATAGCAGTTGCCCTTCTTCCTGAATTCCCAGCAAATGATCCAGTTGTTTCTGCTCCTTCAGCTGATGGCCCAGTTGTTACTAACCCAGATGATGGGCCAGATATCTTTGTCCAACCTACTGATGGTACAGATGTTTCTGACCCTACAACAGATGGTCCTTCTGTCATCCCAGATCTACCCGTTGATAGTCTAGTTGTTTCTGATATACCAGCTGGTGATCTAGTTGTCCCCAATACCTCAGCTGATGGTCCAGTGGTGTCTGAATCGCCAGATGATGATCCCATGGTCTCTGTGTGTCCAGGTAATGGTCTGGTTGTCTCTGAAACTAAAACAGATGGTCTAGTGGTCCCTGATTCTTCAGATAATGGGTGAATTGTCCTTGAAACAAAAACAGATGACACTGATGTTCCTGATCCTCCAATGAATTGCCCTGTTGTCCCTGATCCTCTAGCTTCTTGCCCAGTTGTTCCTGAATCTTTAGTTGACCATCCCATTGTCTGTGATCCTCTTACAGGTGTTTCAGTAATCCCTAATGTTATAACAAAGGTTTTTGTTGTTTCTGATCCTTCAGCTAATGTTCCAGTTTCTCCTGATGCTCCAGCTGACAGTGTTGTGGTCCCTGATCCTCTAGCTGCTGTTCCAGTTATCTCTGGTCCTCCAACTGATGATCCAGTTGACCCTGTCAATCTTGTAGATGATGTAGATTTTACTAATCCTGCAACAGGTGCTGTAGTTGTTTGTGATACTTTCGTTGATGGTACAGTTGTTCCTAACCCAAATGATGATCCAGATGTCCCTGTTAATCCTACTGATGTTACTGATGTTCCTGATTCTTTTCCTGAACGTCCAGTTATCCCTGACCTTCCAGTTGATGGTCCAATTGTCCTTGACATACCAGATGATGATCTAGTTGTTCCTAATTCTCCAGATGATGGTCCCATTGTCCTTTTCACTCCAGATGATGCTCTGGTTGTCCCTGAACCTACAAAAAATAGTCTACTTGAAGGTATAGTTGTTCCTGGACCTACAACAGATGGTCTGGTTGTCCCTGAACCTAAAACAGATTGTCCTGTTTTTCCTGACCCTCCATGGAATGGTCCTGTGGTCCCTGAACCTCCAGCTGTTGGTCCTGTTGTCCCAGCTTCTTCAGCAGATTGTCTAGTTGTCTGTGATTTTACTGTGTAGGGACCAGCAGTCCCTGAAATTACAACAGGGGTTACTGTTGTTCCTGAATTTCCAGCAAATGATCCAGTTGTCCCTGCTCCTTTAGCTGATGGCCCAGTTATTCCTAACCCATGTGATAGGCCAGATGTCCCAGTCAATCCTACCGATGATACAGCTGTTCCTGATTCTACAAAAAATGGTCCTGTTGCCATCCCAGATCCAACTGTTGATGGTCCAGTTGTCTCTGATATACCAGCTGATGATCTTGTTGTTCCTAATGCTTCAGATGATGGTTCAGTGGACTCAGATACTCCAGATGACAGTCCACTTGTGGCTGATCCTGGAGTCAATACTGCAGTTGTACCTGACTTTACCAATGAAGGTCTAGTTGTCCTTATTTCTTTAGAAGTTGGTAAGGTCATCCCTGAACTTAAAACAGATTGTCTTGTTGTCCCTGATCGTCCATGGAATGGTCCTGTGGTCCCTGATATTCCAGCTGCTTGTTCTGTTGTCCCTGCTTCTTTGGCCGACAGTCCAGTTGTCTGTGATCCTCCTGTGGATGGACTGGTAGTGCCTGAACTTACAATGGAGGTTGCAGTGGTTTCTGATCTTCCAGCCAATGACTCAGTTGTCCTCGATCCTACAGATGATTGTCCAGTTGTTGCAAACCCAGGTGATAGACCAGAGGTCCCTGTCAATCCTGCTGATGGTACAGACGTTCCTGATCCTACAACAGATGGTCCAGTTGTCCCTGACCCACCAGACAATAGTGCAGTTGTGCTTGATATACCAGATGCTGATTTAGTTGTTCCTAATACTTCAGCTGTTGGTCCTGTAGTATCTGAATCTCGAGATGATGATTTAGTTGTTCTTGTCACTCCAGATGATGTTCCAGTTGTCCCTGAACCTAAAACAGATGTAGTTGTTCCTAATCCTTCAGATGTTTGAGTTGTCCCTAAACCCAGAACAGGTGTTTCTGTTTTTTCTGATTCTTCAGTGGATGGTCCTATAGTCCCTGATCCTCCAGCTGCTAGTCCACTTGTCTGTGCTTCTTCACCTGATCGTCCAGTTGTCTGTGATCCTCCTATGGATGGTCCAGTATTTCCTGACTTTAGAACAGAGCTTTCAGTTGTTTGTGATACTCCAGCAAATAATGTAGCTGTCCCTGATCCTTCAGCTGATGGTCCAGGTGTTGTTAACCCAAGTGATGGTTCAGTTGCTCCTGTCAATTCTTCTGATGGTACAGATGTTCTTGAAAGTACAACAGATGGTTCAGTTGTCTCTGATCCTGTAACTGATGATCTTGTTGTTGCTGATCCTCCCAGTAATGGTCCTGTTTTCCCTGTCACTACAGATGACAATACAGTTGTCCCTGATTCTTCAGCTGATATTCTAGTTGTCCCTGATCTTCCCTCAGATGGCCCAGTTGTTCCTCCTCCTTCAACATAGTGTCCAGTTGTTCCTGTAAAAATAAATAGTAAAACTACAATTTTGTTTTTAAGATACATCGTGGGATTTTTGTTGTTGTTAAACTAGGAGCTTTCTCCACTATAGCTTTCAAGCATCTTCATGGGTACCACCATATTTCATACCTTTTATTCTACAGTGTAACTTCTTCCTGTTTATTCATCTAGCAGTACTTTACTGGGTATCTTGTGTGGTATTGTATAAGTTCTCAGAAACATATAAATATTACTCATTTTACCATTGGAACTACCCTATGGCATATATAGTACTACTTTCCCTTTTGATAGAGTAGAAACTAAAGCAAATATAGTTGAAATAGCTTTTCAAAAATGATGTAGCTAGTAATTAGAGAGTTCTCAGTTTCATGAAGCATTCCTAGTTGAATGGAAGAGACATACAGACATATAAATTAAATTATATCCAAACAAACAAATCCACACACAAGAAAAGTGTCAAAGCACTAACATAAAGTGAGGTAATACTGAGCAACTGGGATTCTATTTTAGACTGCTTGGATAACAGACCTCTCTGAAAAAATGTCTTTTATTTTGAGATATGACAAAGAAGCAGAAAACTATGTGAAACTCAGAAACACTGCCTGAGTGGGAACAGCTAGGGCAAAAGCCATAAGGCTGAAATGAACTATTTGTGCTAGAAAAGCAGAAGTAGAAGGTGAATGTATTTGGAAAATTGGAGGTTACAGGGAGGACATGCCAACAACTTGGCATCACCCAGAATACTCTGATATGAGACCCTTATATCAAGAATTCCACCAAGGGAACAGATGAGGTTGGAAACCTTGGATTTGTTGAGACATGGATCTACACAGTAGTGTGTGTGTATGGTGCCTATTTACATCAAAGCTTCATTACTTGGGCATAGCAGCAAATAACCTACTGCCTACCATATCTTCAATCCTTCTGGAAGGTTCTCTTTCATAGAACCTGTTGTTTTATTTTGTTAATAAAAGTAAAGCCTCTGAATCCTTTACCAGATTGGGAACTCTTATTTCATTTCACATATTCACCAGATATCCACCAGATATTTATTAAGTCAGGCACTAAGCTAGGCACTGGGAATGCAAATGTAAACTAGCATAGGCAAGGTAACAAGACCTTTCTCTAGTTTTGATAGTAATTCACCAGTGTACTAGACAGTGGCTGTCTAGTAACAGAAAATGACTGGATGAAGATTCAATCATCTAGGCCCTGTTTTAGCCTCCAAACATATTCACCTATGACTAAAGTAAACACATTGATTTTTTTATTTATAAAATTTGAATAATCACTAATATATTGTCAATTGCACTAGGTGGCTATATGATTCGAGTAAGTGAATATATGTGAAAACACTTTGTCCATCTTATACTTAGTATAATTTTATGTGATTATCATTTTTATTTTTTGCTAAAACAGGTTAAGATGACTTACAAATGATATTATACGATGGTAAATGACTACCTCGTATCTTTATTTCATTGAATAAGTTGTACTCAATATATCCAGTAAAAAACAAAGTATAAAAACAGTTTTATTTTACTAATTAAATTTTTAAGCACTTTTTTTCCTATTTCATGAGAAATATTTACCAGTCCCCTTTCCTTCTCTCTTTTTTTCTCTCTGGTCCGTATCTTTGATCCTTTGAAACAATTTAAATATTATGAAACACAAACATTGTTTAGTAAGGTGTGGCTATACCCATTGCATATTGCATACCCTCACTGTATATTTTCCTGTAAGGTGAGTTTTGAGCAAATGAGGTATCTAGAGTCATGTTCTATTTGCAAATTCTAGAAAAGAAGAATTTTTTAAACCAAAGTGTAGAGATTTTAAGGAGCAAACTATTTGCTGAATGTTTAGACAATTCAGAAGGCAATGTTACTGAATATTCTTAGAAAAGGGAAAGCTGTTCATCAAGGTTATAGATCATTTTTCTATTCAATAATGAACTTATAAAGAAATATATTAATATTTTAAATCATGACTTTTTTAATACTAAAGAACCATGACATTTTTCTAATACTAAAGATAGCGGGTTTTTGAAAATAGATTGCAAAAAGAAAAATTCTAACTTGAACTTGAACATCCCTGTTGATGGCTGAGAATCATTTAATATCCAGAAGCCTATTATTCAACAAAGAAAAGAATTTATTGAACTCTCAAATATTTCTGTTATGGGAAAATCATATTATCAATCAATGAAATGCAGAAATACTATTATTTAGTACTTTTATATTTATATTTGTTTGTTGTGTAAGTGATTTTTTGTAGAGCCACTCAAACCTTAGATGAAGAAATGTAACTAACTGGATGAGGAAACATCCCTAACTCAAAAACAAAATTTAAGGACCAAATATAAGACGAAATGTTAGATGGTTACTATTACATTTTTAATTAACTCAGTTATAGTTGTATCAGGTAACATTCCAGTGATTTCTGCATTGGCCACATCAGATTCAAAATGCTGCATTAGTCTTGTTTAGTAACGGGGAACACCTGAACTGTCAGATCACTGTCACACTGTCATGTGCTGTTCTGAAAACCCAACAGTGCACAAATACTGAACAACAAAAAATTTAATGGCAATCTTTCTAGTACCACCAGATGTTCCAATTGTACCTGCTATAAAGGAAAAATGGATTGGGTTCATTCCCAGAATATCTTAAGCTATGAGATAACCAAATCTGACTTAAATGAACTTCCAACAAAAGATTACCAAAATATCTGTTTTCTACATCAATGATATTACCCTTTATACATTTCCAAAGATGTGCTTTGACATACATTTATTTATTTTTTCACTGGATTCTCATCACAATCCCACTCAATAGATTACATTCCCATTTTTTACTGATAAGAAAACTGAAGTTACAGATGTTAAGTGATTCATTCACTTAATTGCATGAATTGCATGATACTGGTTCTAGGAAAAGTATTGACATTTGAATACTGCTCAGGCAGGTTGTTTATTCGGGATTTTTTTTTCTTCCCATCTGAAATGGTTATTGAAAATTTATCAAATGTATTTTTAGCCTGAATGTAGATAATTAGTTTTTTTTATTTCTCTTAGCTCTATTAGTATGAACCATAAATATATATAATTTTTTTTTGAGAGAAAGAGAGCAGGGGAGGGACAGAGAGAGAGAGAGAGAG